ATTTTGTACTCTCCAAGGCTGCATTTATTTGATAAAAAATAAAACAAAAACTGTATTATTATTTACTATGTATTATTAGTCATTATTATTACAAGTTAAAATAACTTTTCTTTTTTTATTTTAAATGTAATTTATTCCTGTGATGGCAGAACTGAATTTTCAGCAGCCATTACTGAAATCGCCACCATCTCATGATCATTCGGAAATCATTCTGATATGCTGATTTAGTGCTCAAGAAACATTTTAAAAATTATTAGCAGTGTTAAAATAGTTGTGCTGCTTAATTTATGGAAGCTCTGATGTATTTATTTCCCAGGAGTATTTGATGAATATAAAGTTCAATAGTATAGCATTTATTTACAGTAGAAATCTTTTGTAATCATTTATAAAAGTCTGTGACTTTGGATAATTTTTTTTGATCAAAAGTATTATATTCTTTAAAGGGGTCATAATGATGCGATTTCAAGTTTTCCTTTCTCTTTGGAGTGTTACAATCTCTTGGTGCATAAAGAAGATCTGTAAAGTTGCAAAGACTAAAGTCTCAAATCAAAAGAGATATTCTTTATAAAAGTTAAGAGTCAACCACGCCTACCTAAAACGGCTCATTCTAATGCCCCCCCACATGTCTACGTCACTGTGGAAATAGCATAATGCCGCCCAAATGTGCATGCAAAGAAAGAAGGCGTGGTTTCAGGAACAGCAGTAGTGTTGATGCAGCCATGTCAGGTAGAGCTGTTGATATATCGTTTTGCCGATATTATCGGCCGATATGAGCCTGTCGCCGATATATCGGTATCGGCGAATATGCCGCTGATATGATTTTTTAGTTTGTCCAGCAGAGTGTGCTCCATTGTTTGCTACTAGCAACCTGGATGAAACGCTTTAAAGCTTAAGTCTATGGAAAACCATTGAAACTTTAAACGGCCATATCTCCGTAGCGGCGCGGCTAATCCGCACCAAATTCGGGGGATCTCTTCAGCTCGAGGAACCCTCTCGAACGCGAATCGAGTGTACGTCTCGAGGCCCTCTTTCGAATGAGTCCACCCCCGCGTGGATAGCCCCCGGGGTTCGGGAGTTTAATCCGCACCAAATTCGGGGGATCTCTTTAGCTCGAGGAACCCTCTCGAACGCGAATCGAGTGTACGTCTCGAGGCCCTCTTTCGAATGAGTCCACCCCCGCGTGGATAGCCCCCGGGGTTCGGGAGTTACGTGTGGTTAAATTTGCGGTCCGGCGCCGACCGATCTAGCGATCCCGGGGGGCTACCGACGCGCGGAGGGTGGCGTTCAAGAGGGCTCCTCGAGCTGAAGGGATCCCCCGAATTTGGTGGAGATCCGCCGCCGCGTTCGCAAGATACTGAATGGAAAGTGTTGACTGGTGTCACTAAGGAGGTTTCTTGTTCAGGCAGCATTCACGCGTTGTCTTAATCGACCGTAAGTGCCCTGCGAAGCGGAGTTTACATGAAATTCCGCAATGATTCCAGTTCCATGGGAACGTACACGTTACATTCAAAGGGCATTCAAGTGTGCGAGACGTGAATTTATATTGTATTTATTTACAGAGGTAGGGGAGAGCGAGGCACAAAGTAACACTTTTTGACTTTCTGTTTGTGTAAATCCACATGGGGTTCAGAATATATATTTTTTTATCCACAGAAATTTTACACTTGTCTAGTACAAATATGTCGCATATATATACAGTGGGGCACTATAATATACACAAAGAATATCGGCCGATATAGCGGTATCTGGGTTTTTTGGTGTCTTTTTTTTTTTTTTATCTGGTATCGGCCCCAAAAAAACCATATCGGTCAGGCTCTAATGTCAGGGAGACGCTGTGTTTCAGTGCGAAAGCAAAAGCACTTTATTTGGCCTTCCGGAAGTAGATGCAATTAGGAATTTATCTGTTTACATTGTGTGGTTCCTGAATCTCTCTTTATCTGTGTAGAAAGAGGCTTCTGTGAAGTTCCATGTGCTGTTGACCTCCTATGAGCTGATCACAATCGATCAAGCCATCCTGGGCTCCATCGACTGGGCTTGTCTTGTAGTAGATGAAGCCCATAGACTGAAAAATAACCAGTCAAAGGTAAGCTCCTTGTGTCAGATGAGTGACACACCAAAATATCTACTAATTAAAGGATTTGTTCATCCAAAAATCTGAATTCTGTCATCACCCTCCTGTCTTTCCAAACCTGTACGACTTCATTTCATCCTAAATTCTGATTAAAATGAAATGGCTGTTGTTTAATTTTAAATGCTGTCTAATTGATTCATTCATTCTGACTGATCAAGTTTTTTTTTTTCTTTTCTTCTGTGAACCAGTTTGATTTGGTTTACAAAACCAGTTTGAATGATTCATTCACAAATCTGACTTATTCGGCCCTTTAGTTCAGCTCACTCACTCAGTGATCCGATTTCAGCAGTTATCTTCTCCACTAGAGGTTATAACTACATATATTTAGCTTTTTTCTCACATAAAGCTATCAAATGAATTCAGAAGAAAAATAGTGCAGAGCTTGTGGAGTACTTTTATGGTGCTTTTGCATCCTTTATGGAGAAAGTCATACAGGTTTAGAGCAACATTAAGCAATGGTTCTTGAGGCAAAGTTGCTCAAAGTTGGTTCTTGAGGCAAAGTTGATGCAATGATATGCATATTGTGGGGATGACTGAAACACCACGTGATTACAGAGCCATAAAACTCTTTAGCGCCAACTAGTGGCCGATTTCTTTCAAAATTCTTACAGACCTTTAGGGCCATAAGTCGAACATGCCCACTGAGTTTCGTCCCGATCGACCTCCGTTAACCTTGTCTTATAGGTGCTTAAATGTCTTTGGCCAATGGCGGCCCTGTTTTTTTATATACGCAAATGTCCTCATAGACACTTATGGCACACTGGACAAACACACTGCATACCAATTTTCAAGTCAATCGGACAAACGGTTGCAAAGTTATATTCGTTCTTATGTTTTTTCCATTTTTATAGCGCCACCAAGTGGTAGAGCTGCGCAATTTTTTTTATTTCACCAAATATTGAGCTCATACACATGTGTACCGAATTTGGTGAAGATATCTCTTTCCGTTCAAGAGTTATAGCTAAAATAATATTTGGCTAACGTTAGCATAGATGCTTTTTGGGGAACGGTTTCGCGCAACAATCGAAATTTAAACTTTTTTTTGATAATTATTGATATTCAATGTCCACCGAATATTTTTGCAGTGGTTTGGTTCCGATCAGGCGAAAAACCTAGGACTAGTTCGCAAAAGTAAGTTTGGCATATAGGTCAATTTTACGGAAAAACCGTGCGTCCTAGAGAAAATCTGACTGACTCCACTTTTGTTCGGGCTGATCCAAGGATCGCAACGATGTAAAATTTTGAGTCTACGACAAAAGGTGCACGAGTTAGGGCCAAAAATGTCTGATATTTTAGTTTTCTGCGCTGTAGCGCCACCTATTGGCCGATTGGGCTGAGACTTTGTTAGGTTCTCCCAAATTGAGCTCTATCATTTGGCCAAGTTTCAAGTCTCTAGGCCTTACGGTTTGGTCTGCACGATCAGTTTTAGGGGAGAAGAA